CACAGAGGTGGCTCTCAGAAGGTCTCCTCAAACATCTGTGGTTATTGGAGGGATGGTGGAGGGAGCAAGAACCAGTGTGAAGCAATGACCACTGGGAAGCAGTAAAGAAGAGAGGAACAGAAGGAATGAGGGTCAACAAGAAGAGAGATAAGTAAATAGGTGGAGAGGAAAGCAGGCCAGTGGGAGGTATCTCAACAGGGAGGGGTCATGGGTGGCTCAGAGATGAAGAGAAAAGGAAGGGAGATAAAATTCTTGAGTAGATAAAGGCCCTAAGCCCTTGGGGTAGCAGAGTCTCTATCCATTCCCCAGCCCCACACCCAAAGGGCCAGTATTCTACCCATCACCTCTGCAGAAGCTGGGACAAGGAAAGCTGCCCCAGCCACTCCCTCTGAGCAGCCAGGGATGTGGGTGTCTGAGGGCCTAGCCCTAACACTTCCAGGAAGTGGGTCACAGCACGTGGGTGTCCACAGACCTCCACGCTCACCCTACCCTGTGGCCTGCCCTGGAGCCACCAAAGGGGCTGATGAAGCTGTGATGAAACAAGCTTTAGGCCCCAGCACAGTGCCTGTCACAGCAGCCCCTCTGAATAGGCTGTGAAAGAAAGGGAAAACAGGCTCCAAGCTCAGCCTTGCCACAAATTCATGGTTCCTCTTGAGCCAGTCACTTCCCTTCTCTGGATCTCAGAGTCCCCACTTCAAAGAGAAATGGTGGGTAAGTAGAATATTCAATGACAATATGATGAGCTATCAAGCCATGAAAAGACCTGGAGGAACCTTAAAGGCATATTGCTAAGTGAAAACCAATCTGAAAAGGGTACATATTGGATGACTACAATCATATAACACTCTGGAAAAAAACAAACCGGAAACAGGGAAAAGACCCATGGTTGCCAGGGAATTGAGGAAAAGGAGGAATGAACAGGTGGAGCAAAGGGGATCTGAGGGCAGGGGAACTACTCTGCGTGATACTGTAAGGGCGGATACATGCCATTACACATTTGCTAACACCCACAGAATGAACAACACAAAGAGCGAACTCTGATGGACTTTAGTGTAAGATGTTAATAATAAAAGCAAGTGGGGGGGGGAGGGGAGGGAAGGAACTATCTATACTTTCTGCTTAGTTTTTCTGTAAACCCAAAATTGCTCAAAAAAATAAAAGCTATTAATTTAAAAAACAAAACAAGCCCTAGCTGTTTGGGCTCAGTGGATAGAGCATCAGCCTGTGGACTGAAGGGTCCCGGGTTTGATTCCGGTCAGGGGAACATGCCCAGATTGTGGGCTCAATCCCCAGTGGGGACCGTGCAGGAGACAGCCGGTCAATGGTTCTCATCATTGATGTTTCGATCTCTCTCTCTCCCTCTCCCTTCCTCTCTAAAATCAATAAAAATATATTTAAAATAAATAAAAAACAAAGGTGGGGAGAGTAGGTCTTGCATGTCTTTTCTCCACAGGGCCTTTCCTCAGGATTCTAAAATAAAGCAAAATTCAAGAAAGTGCTTCACTTTAAGTAGGCCTGTCCTATGAAAATTCAGATCTCAAAATAGATAACTGAGCCTTTGCCTGACAGTACTTGTCACTGAATCCTGTCAAACGGTGATCCCTCTGGGAATTGACAGAACCAGAGCTCATACACACACGCACAGCATGCCGCTCACCAAATGCTTGTTTCCCAGGCCTGGGGTGGATCTGCCTAATCAGCTGCTCACCCAAAAAGAGACAAGACCATGCCCCACCCTGCCAGGACCAGAGGTGCACCCACATCTGGCACCCATGCAACACAAGCCACTTCAGGTGGGGGCTCTGAGTGCAGGCCCTGCCCAGGGAGGAGGCAGGCAGGGGCTCTCCGTGCTGGGGAGCAGCCCTCCAGTGCCCAGAGCATCAAGGGGCCTGGGAGCCCACAGGGCTCTGGGGCACCAGCATTAGCAGCTCCAGGAAAGCAGGGCTCCCTCTTCAGCTCTGCCTACACTCCACCTCTAGGCCTTAATCATCTCTGGAAAAGGTCTGTCCCAGGGAAGAATGAAGACTCCAGCATCTGGACAGTGCCACAGCTCCCAGGACACAGGAGTGGACAGGATGGACTGAGCATGAACAAGGGGCAGAAGGAGCACCCATCCTACCCTTGGTCATTTTTCATAGAAATGTTTTTCCATCACAGAGCCACTCTGCTCAGACAGAGATAGACATGAAGATTGAGATGCTCTAGAAGTTCCAATGGCCCAAAGCCCTCAGACCCTTGGCTGAGGTCACCATCACAGAGGACCCACCCTGACCCAGAAAATACATCCCACTGATTCTCTCTTGCACCAGCCACACTCCTACCCAGTGGCTTACCCCTGAAGGCCTGAAAAATGCCCCACCTCCCATTCCAGAATGCATGGTCATCCAGTTTGGAAACAAGGCCATGTAAATGGCTGATACCCAGGCTGGGCACAAGCATTTGTTGTTCTGTATGGGACCAGCCCAACCTGACCCAGCCAGCCATGGGGAATAGACCAGGCACAGCCAGCCAGACAGGGAGATGCCCAGCAAACCATGCTCTATGGCGAGTGCTAAGCCAGGAACAGACTTAGCCAGGGCTTTCATGAAGGCCCTGTTCCTTCCTACCTTTTTCATAGGTCATTCTCTAGGAGTTTCCCCCACCCAGCCCCCTGCCTCATCCAAGTCCCACTTCACCCTTGAAGAAAGGTCAAGGCTCATGACACCAAACTCTAAACCTCGCTCTCAGAGTCCCTCACACACATCATCTTCTTTTGGAGATTTTTCTCCCTAAATGAGTTTTCTCCAGACATTTTTTTTTTTAATGTGTAAATCACACATCTGATTTACATGCAAAATATTAAATAAGTCAAAACATAGACAAAAGATTTGGATTGACACTTTACCAAAGATGTTAAATGAATGGCAAACACCTGAAAAGATGTTCAACATCATTAGTCAGTAAAGAAATGCAAATTAAAACCACCATGAGATTTCACTACACACCATTAGAATGGCAAAAACAAAAAGAAGCCTGATACACCAAGTGCTGTTGAAGGTATGGAGCAAAGGAATGCTCATGCTTTGCTGGCAGGAATGCAAAATGGTGTACTTTGGGAACAGTTTGGTGTTTTCTTAAAACATTAAACACACACGTGCCATATGGAATACCACTCCCAAATATTCCCACTCCAAGAGAAATGAAGGCCTTTGTTCACACAAAAACCTGGGCATGAATGTTGACAGTAGTTTTACTCATAATTGATAAAGGCTAGAAACAACCCAAAAGTCCTTTAATGGGTGAACGGATAAACACACTGTGGTGCATCCATCCACACAATGGAATACTACTCAGCAAAAGAAAGGAATGAATTCTTGATATGCACAACTTAGATGGATCTCAAAACATTATGCTGAGTGAAAGAAGCAGGCTCAAAAGCTACATACCATAGGAGTCCATCTGACATTCTTGAAAAGGCACAATTACAGGAGTGCAGAGTTGTCAGGGGATGGGCTTGGGGGAAGGGTCCTAGAGGGGCAGCACGGGAGGGCACCGTTTGAGGAGACAAAAGTTCTGCCTCTTGACTGTGGCGGTGAATACCCAACTATATATATTTGTCTAAATCCACAGAACTGTGCACCACAGAGTAAATTTTGCCGTATGTAAATTTAAAATTACATTTTTAAAAAGTCCTCCTTATTCTGCCCAGAGGGCCCAGCTCCAATCTATCTCTTCCATAAAGACCAGTTATCTCCATGACTATAGCCCTGAAATCACTATTTTTTTCTGTCGTCCCAGATTTAGTCCTCTCTTCCTTCCTCTCTTCCTCTGTCCCTCCCTTGTTTATACACAGCGCAATCAAAACCCTACCCATCCCTGCCCGGCCAGCGTAGCTACCAGTAAGTGGGTGAGCATCGACCTATGAACCAGGAGTTCAAGGTTTGATTCCCAGTCAGGGCATGTGCCTGGGTTGTGGGCTCGATCCCCAGTGTGGGGCGTGCAGGAGGCAGCTAATCAATGATTCTCTCTCATCATTGATGTTTCTATCTCTCCCTTCCTCTCCATTTCTCTCTGTAATCAATAAAGAAAATATTAAAAGCCACACAATAACATGTTACTATAAATAAAAAAAGTTAAAAAAAAAAACCTTACCCATCCCACAAAGCTTGCTCAAGTGCCTCCTCCTCTGTGAAGTCTTCCCTGACTCCTCCCAGCTGCATCGGAATGAATCATCTTTACCAGGCACCCCCTTGTTTGTGCCTCTAATTAGCCCTTCTTTCATCTTACAGGCTGTCAGTGTTTGCTTTCAGTCTGTCTCCCCTGCTGGATCACAAGCTCGCTGAGGACAGGGACCAGGTCTTCCCTCCACATTCCCCACACTGCACCTGGCACAGTCCAGGCACACAGTGGGTGCTCTGAGACCACAATGGACTGGCTGAGGCCAGGTGCAAGCGGAGGTGGCTGATGCCAAAAGCACTGGGCTGGCAGTGCTCTGAGTGGTACTTTGCCCTATGTAAATTTAAAATTACATTTTATTTATTTATTTTTAAAAAATATATTTTATTGATTTTTTTACAGAGAGGAAGGGAGAGGGATAGAGAGTTAGAAACATCGATGAGAGAGAAACATCGATAGCTGCCTCCTGCACACCCCCCAACTGGGGATGTGCCCGCAACCAAGGTACATGCCCTTGACCGGAATCGAACCTGGGACCCTTCAGTCCGCAGGCCGACGCTCTATCCACTGAGCCAAACCGGTCAGGGCTAAAATTACATTTTAAAAAAGTCCTCCTTATTCTGCCCAGAGGGCCCAGCTCCAATCTACCCACTGGTAGCCACTGGTACTTCTCCTGCACAAGCAGCACAAATACTGCCTAAACCTTCAAATACTGGAAGTGACCTCTGCTCCCTTCCAACATGAGGCCATTCAACTCACGATGGAACATTTCTGAAGACGCTTTTGCTTCCTCCATGCCACCCAGCACCATTCCAAGCCCAAGCAGAAAGATGTTGGGCGCGCACCTGTTGAAGGACTGGAGCCTCTCTTGTCATCAGGGTGTGTCATTTCTCACTCCCAGAAGGCCCACTTCGCAGCAATAGCAGGTCAGGTCCATCTGCTCTGAGACAAGTCCATTATGTAGAACTCCCAGGCACAGGCACAGTGAACCGGCAACACCACAGGACCACTCTGTGACTGGGTTTTTCCAAGCACATCCCCAGCCTCTCTTTATAAATACTAGCTTGTCCAGGGCTTAAGGACCATCTATAAGTGATTTATTTGATAAAAACTTATACAGTGATTAGTATTTGCCAGGCAAAAAACTAAGCACTTTATAAACAATAACCAGTTTAATCTTCACATCAACCACATGAGGTTGGTTCTACTAATATTATCATGCCCATTTTGCAGAGGAGAAAATAAGACACATTGCAGTTAGATAACTTGCTCCAAAACTATCCTGTCCAAACTTAGCCACTAGCTCCTCGTGGCTACTGAGCACGTGAAAAGTGTCTAATTCAAATTGAGATGTGCTATTAAAGTGTGAAAGAATACATGCTAGATTTCTCACACTTTGTATGAAAGAAAAAAAAAGGTAAACTATCTCAATTGTTTTAAAGTATTGATTATATGTTTAAAAATATTTTAGGCATAGTAGTTTAATAAAACACATTATTAAAATTCATTTTACCACTTTCTTTACTTCTTAAATGTGGCCCCTAGATGACTTAAAATTATCTATCTGGCTTATGCCATATCTTTATTGGACAGCACAGGTCTGGAGTCTGAGCTCGTAGCCACCACTCCATGCTGGAGTCATCTTCCCCTGCCCCCGCCTCAGGGTGCAGCCTGTCCCTAACACCTGTTCATACAGCTGGTACAAAGATGATGGGGAGCCAGGCAGTAACACCCACATCTCCCCTTTCTGTCTCCTCTAACTGCCTGGACCCTGCCCCACCCCACCCCACCCCCACATCTCTCAGCCTTGCCTCCATCAGGAATCCCAGAATGCCAAAGTGGGAAAATACCTCCCCCATTGCCTAGTACAATCCCCACTTGCTGCATGTGGAGAAACTGAGGCCCAGAACCACATGGTTGACCTAGATGTCATCTGGTCCAATTTCCCACCCAGTGCAGAGACCTCCAAAGCATCCCTAACGAGTTCCAGGTAATGAAATTCTATGTAGTTCTAGGTGGTACTACGTAGTGAAACTGACTTAGAGCAGATGGAGCTGACGTACTCCTCCTGCAGAGAGGGCCCGCCTTCTGGAAATGAGAAATGACACACCCTGATGACGGGACGGGTTCAATCCTCATCTGCCCTCTGCTAAGACACTCACAACACCAGCAAGCTGCATACTTAACAGGTCAGGGCGTATCCACCCTCCAAAAGCAGAGGTGACTCCCAAGGTGGCCCGAGCAGCACAGAGCTTAGTGGACTAAGGTTTTCCTTGACACAAATCCCACCACACCACTAGGCACACAGACTCGGTTTAAGGGGCGGTGCGAAGACTCAGATCGACCTCGGTTCAAACTCCAACCCAAGCATTAATCTCTGTGTAACTTTTCTCCTCTTCTGTACAGTAAAGGTTAAAAAACAAAACAAACAAAAAACGAACCCTACCTCACAAAGATTAAAGGAGATGATGTAGGCAAAAATGTCTAGAATAACACCTGGTACCTAGTAGGCACTTCATAAATGCTCATTTCCTTTCCCCTTCCTTTGTCAAATGAAAGCCCAAATATGTTTTCACCACAAGAATTGATAGTTCCTATTCTATACTTATATAATTGATGTTTTGAACTTAAATGCAGGATTTTACACTTAAATCTATTAGATTTTATCTTGAGGAAAGTATACGTGTTCACATTGCTAGATAGCAAGTAATTTTCAATGGCTAAAAGTCGAAAACAATTTTTGAAAGTGCAGTAGGGTACAGTTAAATAAATTAAGGGGCATTCTGCCTGGCCAAGTGTGGCTCGGTGGTTGAGCATTGACCCATGAACCAGGGAGTCACAGTTCGCTTCCCAGCCAGGGCACATGCCTGGGTTGTGGACTCGATCCCCAGTTGGGGGGCGTACAGGAGGCAGCCAATCAATGATTCTCTCTAATCCTTAATGTTTCTATCTCTCTCCCCCTCTCCCTTCATCTCTCTGAAAAACAGAAACAGAGAATGCACTTAGTCTGTGGCAGGTTTGTGTTAAAAGATAAATTTTAAAAATTAAGGGGCATTCATATAATGTAATCTTATTCAGACCCTTACAATTATGGTTTTAAGTGATTTTTATGACATGGGATATTGCTCACTATATAGTATTCAGTAGGAAGAAAGGAGTATAATTGCAATTATTTAAAATATATAGTTTACATGAACACAAAACTGGAGAGACCTATACCAAAATACTAACTGTGCTCATCCCTAAGTTGTGGTACTATGCACCATTTTGTTTCTCCTTTAACTTATAAAGGCTTTCTACAATGAGCATGTATGAGCTTTAACAGACAAAACGTTTTTTAATTTCATATTTCTGCTTAATTTCTGCATTCTAGTCAATTAAGATGATTTAGAATCCTGCTTGCTGCCTTAAACACCCACAGAATCTATAGAGGATGAGAGAAGACAGCTCTGAGACATATTGCTGGAGACCTCCCCGCAGGGTGACGTGAGCTCCATTCAGTACCCAGGATAACCTTTCAACCAGGTACCAACCCATCGTACTGCTGTATCAGCCAGATCATACTTCTCTCAAACCCAAGAAAATCATTAGACTCAAAGTTCTTACTGAACATTCCTCCACCCAAACTATATTATTTTCCAAGACTTGACAGAGTGAACATGTGGTGGCTATTAGTTACCTCAACTTCATTTTGAAGTCCCCTTAGATTTTTTTTGTTCAAATATCTGGCCTGGAATTTGGGGGACCAACAAGAAGCCTAACAGCCTGACACTTCCAGAATCCCCATCTTGCTACATTGAAGAAATAAATGAGGGTGGCATTTGTTATTTGGCCACTCTTATCTCCGCCCAGACCCTGGAGTGATTCCGTGGTCACTCATACAGCTTCTCAGGACCCCAAACCTGACCTGTAAGAGTCTGGCAACCAGAACTCAAGAAAAGCAAAAGTTGCCCTAACCGGTTTGGCTCAGTGGATAGAGCGTCGGCCTGCAGACTCAAGGGTCCCAGGTTCGATTCCGGTCAAGGGCATGTACCTTGGTTGCGGGCACATACCCAGGAGGGAGTGTGCAGGAGGCAGCTGATCGGTGTTTCTCTCTCATCGATATTTCTAACTCTCTATCCCTCTCCCTTCCTCTCTGTAAAAAATCAATAAAATATATATTTTTAAAAAAAACCCTTTAAAAAAAAAAGAAAAGAAAAGCAAAAGCAACTCAGTGTGGTCTGATCCTCTTTTCTCCCACAGTCCTCCTTAACCTTCTCACAAAGTCTGTTCTACCCTCACAAAGATCAAGGCAAGATAAGAGACTCTGCCTCCCAGAACATTCCACCACCTGCCTCAAGCAGGAATCTCCCCCTGACTGTCTTGTGTCTTCTTGCTCTGCCTGTGCCTAAAAAAAGAAAAAAAAGAAAAAAAAATCCCTTTATGCTGTCCAGCTGATCCAGGCCTGTTGCTTCCCCACCCAGAGCTCTGCCCACTGCACAAACTGCCTCCCCAGTCAACTATTACTCAAGGCTCAACGCCAAGATGGAGATCATCCAGGAAGAAACAAAAGTAGCCTTTAATCCGGTCAGAAAGATTCACGCAGACGTCTCAAGGGGCTTGAAGGGAAGGGGAAGACCTGGCTCTGGCAGGGGTGAGCTGGGCAGCGGCGGGGCTGTCAGGTATCACACACAAAGCCTTTGTTAGTGAGACACAGAGCAGAATGCTCCGCCAAATAATGGACTCTAAGCAGCTCAGGTTTCACTGAGTCAACAGCCCCCTTCAGAGGAGAGGCCCACCCTATGTGTCATCAGCCCCTCCCCAGTGCCCTTTGCACTGATCCCAACACCCTGTCCTTCCTTTCGGCCGGATATGCAATCCCATCCCCCAGGAGGGTCACCCAGCCTTAGCACAGCTCCCATTTCCTGCCCCTGGTGACTCCTCTGAAGTCTATTGTTCCCATGAAGTTTGGGTCAAAGGAAGCTGCGTTCCCACCCATGGGGGCCCGCCTACCCTCAGCACCGCCAAGGAGCTGGCCCACACCACAGGGAGCCAGGCCCATCCTCTTGCCTTTCCGTGAGCCTGCCAGTATTAAAGGCAGGAGAGGTGGGCACAGATCTTAGGGACTGGAGTTTTAGTGGGAAAGTTTCCAAAGATCCAGTCGCTACCAGCTGAAGGCTCCAGGACCATGTAACACAGGTGATTAGAATCTCCCCAACATCTAAAGGAAAACCCAAAAGTAAGGGAAGAACTGTCCTTTCAGAAAACGTCAAGGCAAAGCTAGAATTAAAACTAGAAGTTGGTGCCCTGGCTGGTGTTGCTCAGTGGTTGAAGCGTGGGCCCATTCAGGGTCACAAGTTCAATTCCTGGTCAAGGGCATGTACCTGGGTTACAGGTTCAATCCCTGGTCCCAATTCAGGGCTCATGTGGATGGCAACCTATCGATGATCAATGTGTCTCTCCCACATTGACGTTTGTTTCTTTCTATCTTTCTTTCTTTCTATCTATCTATCTATCTATCTATCTATCTATGTCTCTCTCTCTTTATGTCTCTGTCTCTATCCCTTTTTTTTCCTCCCTCCCTCTCTCCCTGCCTCCCTCCCTCTCTCCCTCCTTTCCTCCTTCCCTTCCTCCTTCCCTTCCTCCCACCCACCCTCTCTCCCTTCCACTCTGTAAAAAAAATCAATGAAAAAAGTATCCTCAGGTGAGGATTAACAAAAAACATTTTTTAAATAAATAAAGTAAAATAAAACATAGGAACTGGAGACTGTGCTGCCAGGGACAAAGCCCTGCCCCCACCTCCACCTGGGCCCCAGAGCGATTAAAGCAAGGGGGGGAAGGGGGGCCGGAGAGCAGCTGTTCAGCTCCAATTTCAGAGCTTTAAAGGGAGCTCTTCTCCCAACCCCTGCCAACAAAGGGTCATGGAGGGCAAAGGAAGACAGGCTAGGTA